CCCCCCCCCCCCCCCGCCTTATCTCCGTCGCTCTCGTGGTACACCCCGTTCACTCGTTGGACCCGCTTCTATCCGTCCTCCTCGCCGCTCGTTATCCTTCTCGCCGACCGCGCTTCTATCTCCGCCGTGCGCTCTCTTCTCGTCGGATCCGACTTTGTCGTCCGACTCGCTCGCTTTCCGTCCACCTATTTCCATTTCTATCGCTCCACCCGTATTTTCTGCGTCTCCCTCCTCTCTCTCTCTCTCTCTCTCTCGTTCGCTTTTTAGCTTCGACTTTATCTGTCCTCGTCGCTCGTTATTTCTATCTGCCGTTCCCCATGTAGAAATCTGCTCTTGCCTTCTCTTCCTCGCCCTCTGACTCTCTCTCGCTCGCCGCATCTGCGTGTCGCACGCTATCTTCATCTCTCACGGGGATATCCGCTGTCTCTTTCCTCTCTCTCTCTCTCTCTCTCTCGTAATATTTGTGCTGCTGCTCCCTTCTCTCTTCAGACGTACCTTTGTGAGTTCGGCCTCGTGGCTCGCTGTTTCGCACGCTGTCCTTTTTCCACTGGAACATCCGCGTCATTCTCGCTCTCACCGATCCTTTGTCTTTTCCTCTCTCGAACGCTACTCTGCTCGAGTCAGTCCTCGTTTCTCTCTCTCTTTCTTTCGTCTCTTCTCTATATATCGGTCGTCTCTCTCTGCCTTGTGCAATCATATTGTTATTCGTCGTCTCGTTCTCGCTCCTCAGGCGTAGCGCTGACCATTCTTGTCGCTCCCGCCGTCTCCGTCGAGACTACGCGCTACGGCTTCTAACTACTTTTTTTCTGTCTGCTTCGCTGTTCGCGCTCGGTCAGAGCGGCACCGAAAAGTTGAGCGGCAGATACGTTAGCGAGCGATTTTCCGTTGTTTTCTCGAAGTCGGGGAAAAATCCCTTTCTCCCGCACGATTTCCCCGTCCTGAAGGAAAACTTCACGATTTTCGTCGCGATTCCCCCTCCGGCTTTCGGAAAAGGAACGACTGATGCGTTCTCCCGAAAATTCACCGATAGACGATTAAAGAAACTATCGAGATGATTTTCGAGAACGCGCAAACTACTTGCGGCGAGCCGCCACGTGACGCACCTTCGAGCCACCCGGTATGGCGCGTTTGCCTTCGACGCGCCGGCTCTGTCATCCACTTCGCGGCCTGCCCCACTTTATCCGGCTCTATCCCCCGCTCGTCTCTGCAACCATCTCAGCCGGAGTCTCTATGATTACCCCTTCGCGTCTCCGTCCGACCGTCTACGCGACTCGTCGTCGTCGCCGCCGCGAGCGACGTCGGCACTCCGCCAGCGAGCTAAGAGCCGTCGGGTAAAAAAGAAAAAAAAATAGAGAGAGAGAAAAAGTAGGAGAGAAAAAGAAAAGAAACGCTCGCTCATATCTCTGCAAACAAGTTCAAATTCTCGCTCCACGGTGCGACGGGAACTCAAAACCCTGCGACTCAGGGTGCCCCATNGGGGGGGGGGGGGGGGGGTGGCAAGCTTAAAAAAGTGGCCAAAATTCTATTCAAAAAATAGTATGGAAGATTAATATATTGTAATACACAGCTTCTCTAAATTTTAAAATATAAATTACCTTAAAGAAAATCATAGAACTAGAACTACGGGGATAAGCCGATAGTCAAATAGCATTTTATTATCTTGGAATATAGTTTTGTATAAGCTATGAAAGCTCAGCTGAAACTCGATAATCGACGATAATCGTAAGGCATCATTAGATGCGCATTTGCAAGTATTTTAAGAAAATCATACTCAGTCTTCATACATTTCAGCGAAAAATTCAAATTAGGGCTATAACATACATTTTCAATAAATACAAAGCGATATTAAAATACGACTACTTTTTATATCTTGGTCTACTGTATCGGATCCACCATTTTTTATTTTATAATTCTAACTTTGGATGTGTTGAACAACCTCAAAATTCACAAAAACAAGTCGATATTAAAGTACGACTATTTTTGCATTTTGGCCCGCCATACTGAACCAGCTATTTAAAATTTTGTACATTCGACCTCGGATTTGTGATCATCGACCCGGGTAATTAAAAAAAATATTTTTCTAACAATCTAATTGAACTCCGAATTATGGTCACCTTTTCCTCCCAGCCCACTACGCCACCCGTCAGTTTACAAATAGTTCCTAATTCCGAGCCGTTCGCTTCTCTTTTTTTTTTATTCTCATTCCGTGAAGGGACGAGAGATCGAGCGACAGCGGAGAGATACAGATCGACGATATCCCCGATGACATCGTGGATAAACGATCGTAACTGGACCCAATCCAGATCAAGCGGGCTGACGGGCCGAGATGGCAGCCTCTCGATGTATGGTGCGCGGTGTGTGTGTCATTCCGCGTCTCTTCTCTCTCTCTCCTGCGTCGTTCGCTCCCTCTAGCGCTGTCGCAGCGCTCGTGCGCTCGCCGGCGGCTCCTCGTAAATCACCACTTCCACCGAGCGCGAGCGGAAAAATAGCACTTCGCTTGAAGTAGGAGAGCGTGTCGCGTCTAGGCAACACGTCGCCCTATCCGTCGTTAAGCCGCGAGCGTTCTCTCGTTACGAGCGTCGCGCGCGGAAAGAACGCGGAACGAGGGAAAAAAAGAGACGTTTGCCCCCCACCCTGCGGTATTTGTTTTAATCGAAAAGGAGAAAGTAACAGGAGAGATACCGCGGCGGATTGCGATATTGGTACGTGTGTATAAAGGAGTTGTTTGTTTGCGTCTGTTGTAGGCTAACAAACCACTAATGGAAAAACGGCGGCGAGCGAGGATCAACCAATCCCTGGCGGCGCTGAAAGCGCTTATTCTCGACAGCGCCCGCCTGGAGAACACTAAGCATAGCAAGCTCGAGAAAGCTGATATCTTGGAGCTTACGGTCAGGCACCTCCAGCGGCAAAGGTCGCTCGCTCAGCCCGGCCTGTCCAGGTACAAAGCCGGATATCAGGACTGCTCGAGGGAGGTAAGGATCACGTTCAATTTTGCGCAACGCGCCTCCGTATTATAACATTTTTAATGATCGTCCGGAAGAAACGATCGCCGCGGCGAAACGGTTCTCCCGTTTCGCCGGAGAAACTGAGAACGAGACGGGCCCGGTGGGAGGGGGAGGAAGGAAGGACGAAGAAAAGATTCTCGCTCGAAGGAGATATTCGATCGATATACCACATTCTTNGGGGGGGGGGGGAGGGATGAAACGAAGACGATCGGGGGTAAGGTGACTCCGTCGCGGAAAAACGTCATTTTTGCGCCGCAGTTGCCATTACATACCCGTCTGCTGCGACGTTTCGCCATAGGGTTGCGCGGCGATGACGAGGGGGACGGTGAAAAAAGTCGAATTCCAGCGCATCCGGGGAGCATGTAATCGGAGAACTCGGCGGAACTGGTTCGTATTACGACGGGTAGGGGATGGAGAACGGGGGGGATCTTGCCGAGTGGAAGAAGAACCCACCGAAACCATGCTGCCCCTCTTACCCCCAGCCGCCTCCCGCCGCCGTTGTTCTCCCCTCGAACGACGAGAGGTATCGGGTTATCGTTGGAAAGTCTCGCGTGACTCCGCGTATCTCTCTCTCTCTCTCTCTATCTCTCTCTGTTTGTCTGTCTGTGTCTGTCTGCCTGTTCCCTCCTCTTATTCCCCGAACTTGTTCGTTAAGGGATGTCCAGCCGCGAAACGGGAAAACTCGTTGCAAGCAGACACCTCGTAAGTGCCGTCACGCTGAATTTGCCGGACGAACCGATCAGGTGCATCCGGTGATATATCTCGGGAGAGGGGGGGAGGGGCGAGCAGCAGCGGTGGAGATTGCGATTTGGGACTTTCGCGTTTTTCGCGCGCTCGGAGATTTTGCATACGTTCCTGTATCGAGTCGAGATTTTGATAATACTTCGACGTTTTTAAAAACAGCTTTGCGTCTACTTATATGTATTTAACGATTTATAAAAATCTACTCTTATGCTTGTTAACTTCTCTCTTGAACATTTAATTCTACGGATTTACGGTTATATCTACAGATAAAATCGTATCTGCAGATTTAATTTTAATGTTACCTTGAACGAACTATTTCGATGTTAAAATTGTGAAAACGAAAATTAAAAACGTCAGAGTGAACGTAGGAATGAATCATTAATATTGAAGTTAAAGTTATTTTACTATCTTAATTCCTACACGGAAAAAAAGAATTAGTATTAATTCAAGACTCGTGTTCTTATATATAAGCTTCTTATATATAAGTAACAATATATCTTATATGAAGGTAAAACTTGCTCTTACACGAAGAAATATAGCTTCAGTAAAAATATTATATTTTTGACATCTAAAAATAATTTTGTGAATTCAAGGGAAAAAATATTGGATAGAAAGAACAATACTTTCAAATAGATACAATTTTTAGTTTGAATGCATCTTTCTTTCTATTCAATATATTTTCCCTCTCAATTCATGAAAATTATTTTTGAATAACATGAATATATTTTTAGTGAAACTATACAAAATTTTTCGTGTACACAATAAAAAATTTTGTGTCAATTTAACAATTTTCTTGTGTGTTACCAACTTTTGATCATTATTTCAATGTAAAATTGACATACGTACAGCTAATATATTACCATTTTCATGACGTTTTCGTATGTTATATTTGTGTCGATTGTGTCAATTTAGTAACGTAATATTATTTATGTATTATGTAAGAATGAAATATTATCTCGATTTCTTTTTAACACAATTGTTTTGTTAATTTAGCATGTTTGTTAAGTAATTTAACATGTCTGTTATTTCAACATTTTGCGTTAAATCGTTATTCAACATGTATAAGTGTTAGGATAACACACTTTATATTTTAGTGTTGGTTAACGACGACATTAATTTCATTGAATATTATTAGTAACATTTTATATGTTAAACTTTATGGACAAGTTATTTTAATCTTACTCGCAATAACAGTTATTTTATCTAAATAATAAATGTAAATTTTGAGTGCAAAGTTAAGACAAACATATACATTATATTATAAAGACAAAGATATATAGCGCTAACAGAAGTGTATACATAATAGAAAGTAAATATATATATTTAAATATATATATATATGTACATATATCGCTGGCGTTATTATAAATTGTGAATCTTCAATTGCTATGTTTTTAAAACAAAAGGGTCAAGAATCTTGAAGTTTTTTTATAATACCTCTATATTAGTCCTTCATCATATCGTAGTAGTTTTTCATTAAAATCCTAAATGTGGTTTGGAAGAAATTAAAAGTAGAAGTTAAAAACAGAACATTAACCTCAAGTAACACGTCAACTTCGGTTGCAAATGTCCCATTTTTCGAATACGCGATCGTTTTCTAATTTTACAGACGCATCTAGACACTATTTCCGTCAGTATGCAGCTAAAATTTCAAAGGATTTCTAAGAAAACGGACCGACTACCTTCAAGATTTAACATGGAGCTAAAATTTCGACTCTGATTGGCGAGAGCTGTCGGGACCGAGCGGCACGCGAATCAACTTTTCTCAGGCAGAACCGCGAAACTGGGACTCTCGAGCAAACTCGAGAATTCGACCGTCCGGATTGCAGCTCGGCTATTCGCGTGAAAACAAAATTCAACACGGGAGGGAGGAGGAACTCCGCGCGTCGTCGTCTGCGTTCTCGCGGAGACGCGAGTTTGAACAACGGAGTGCCGCGCCTCGGCTGTTGTTTGCTTCGGTCTTAATTCCTGCGTCGCTTATCGTCTCGCTGCTGCGAGACGCAAAACTCTTTCTTTTTTCCGAGCACGAGCGCGCGTGCAGCCTCGTCGGCGGCGCGATACGCGAGGCGATACCGCCGCGCAGCGTCAGGCATTTCCGTCGTATATCTTCATTGGTGCGGAACTCGAGGCGTCGAGTCGATTGTCGGCTCGCCCTGACAAAGCACACTTGTCATCGCACAAAGCCAGCGCGCCGCGCTGTACCTGTCGTGCGACGTCTTATCGGCACGCGCGCCGATAAAGTCGAAAGATGCGGCTGTGCGAAGCTCGCTCGTTCCCCAGCTTCTTCTCCCCCTTGCAACGAGAATTTAATTAGAAGCATTTCACTGCTCGTCACGGACGTTCCGTGGTTGGTTCTCGATTATTTCTCGCCGCGTCCGGAATTAATATATGTAGAACGTGTATAGGAAGAAAGAAGTCTCAAGATCAAGTAAATGTAATAATGTTTTTCAGCCTCTTAAATCGAGCAACATTTTTGTCCATTCAAATGCTACTTTAATATCTTGCAGTAAATACTTACTTAAACGCAGCGATGCCTTAATTTGTAAATCAATTACTGAATGTAAATGTAAAATCCTAAATTTAAGAGTATTTACTAGAATTGTGCGATACTTATTTTCCACTGAAGAAACTTAATGGTCTTAAATTTCGATTTTTCTTTCCAGTAAAAATATTTTCTAAACAAACATCCCGATATCTGTAATATTATGAATTTAATACTCGTCGCAACTGTTTTAACACATATAGGTAAATGTCTGCTCATACGAAAGAATTATCATATTGTATGTGTCAATTATGTTTCTATTTCTAATTAATAAATAAGTGCCAAGGAGTATTGACGTAACTTGGTCTTGAATCAAATAAATACTACTTGAGCAATAGCACTTTTTTCTTTCAGTATATACACTAAAATATATATACTATAGTGTACACACACAGTCGACGAATTAAAGGTTACCGTTTTTTTTTCCATGACTTTTGCAACGCTTCCAATAGGAGAATTTGTTTGTCAGTAATTCTCAGGAAATATATTTTCTTATTGGATACGGGATGTGTTGCAAAACTCGTTGAAAAAAATGTCTGGTAACTACTTTAATCTACTGTGTGTGTATGTATGTAGAGTTGGCGTCATGTATGTTGCACCATTTCCCAAATTGAAGCTTTTTATTATTAGGTAATTTTCAGCCTTTCACACACGTACATATAAGGTTGAAATTATTATAATTAGTATTAGAATATCAGTATTAGAGTCACTAATTCAATCACTAAGCCACCGTGATTCTACCATTATAACTAGAGTTACACACTTTTGTGATTTTCAATCTTATATTTTACTAGTAAAACTAGAAATCGTATAACTTTCTATTTAAGGAACGATATAGCATACATGACGCTGACCACGGTCGAGTTCAGAAACCTGATATCGTTCGTATTGCTGGATAAGACCGAAAAATGTTATATTATTCAAATTTTCTCGTCTTGAAGCATTAACTCTTTGCGGTTTGATCTCGAGTCTACTTCAACATCGCGCTTCAATATATAATCGATCCTAAACCAACTTTTTAATAATACGTTTATTATACATCCGAGTCGAAATTTCGGCCCCACGTTAGACCCCAAATTCCACAACATGGTTCCAGAAGCCATTATAGCTATGGTAACATAAGTTCAATTTCAATTCTACATAGTAAAAAATGTCTTAAATTTAACACTTTTCACATGTCCCAAACGGCCCACTTCAATCTTTGTGTTAATTTAACATAAGGTGAATATGTTAAGTAGCGAAGTGAAGTAACACAAATAATATATTAAAAGTTATCGGATGTTACTGAGGAAAAGTAATTCTGAAACTTGTAAATAATCGTGGGTTGGCGAGCCAACGACCTAGTGCGGGTCGCCGCCGCTATCTTCCAGTTGGTTCGTGTAGCTTTGAACCGAGCCGACACACGTCGCCAAGTTCTTTCAAGTCCAGCGGCTTCCCATTAATGATGTTCGTTGCCAAAGCTGCCGCATTATCTTTTCACGGAGACAAGGCGCGCGCTCTCGCGCGTGTTAAACTTACATATAAATTGTGTTACTTCAATACAAAATAATATTCAATTCTATATAACATCTGTAGACAATGCAATCACGATATGTTAAATTGACACACGACTGTGTCGGGAATTCAACACGAAACTTTTAATACGGATCGATTTTAACAATAGTACAAAAAACAATTTTTT